ATTTCCCATATTTAGAATCAACATGCAGCATTTGTTTAGACTTTGACTGGTACCCGATTGGGTTCCACTGCGTGAAACAATGGGCGCATTGTACTTTTGATCCGCCATCACTCATAACAGCACTTTGTTTCGAGCAGTCAAATGACTTTCGGCCAAACGGCCCATTTCCCATCGCCATCAAGCTCGTTTTCCCAGAAATTGGTACTATCATGGTACTATACGTGGACGCGTAAAGGCGCGGCCCGTTTGATGTTCCCCCAGTTATGGGTTGCTGCGATCTTAATTTCCCCGTCACGACCGTGAAATCGCCAAATTGAAAACTGGTACCTCCACACTCCGAAGTCGAGTACCAATCGGCCCGACGTCGTCTCTAATGAGGGCAGCAGGCGTTTAACAACATCATGATGGGATGATTGTTTTGGGCATTTGTGTGGAAAATCGCTTTGGGTTCGGTACCGTGCCGATCAAGGCTAGCGGCACCCAGCAGGAACCATACATCGCCAACTGTGATCCTTTTAATAACAAGGGCAATTGCTGCGGATATGAAACATGAAATCGACAAAACTGCAACTATTTCAATGTGCTGCATTGAAAATCTGCTTTGGTTAAATGAATGAAGCGAAACGCATTTGCCCATTCGAGAACGCGGTTTGCATCGGTTTTCTCGCTCGCACCCATGGGGGTATTCAGGGCTGCAACATGGCCGCGCTGCTGCCACGTTCCAACTTGCCACCTTTGCCTCTGGAAATTTAGGGGGTTTTACCCGCAGGAAATTTTCGGTTTTTTTGGAACAACCGCGGACATTGCCAGTTTTCCAGACTTTTCAAACCACTACATGCAACTTATCACCCGGTCGGTATAAACCAGTAACGCACCTTTCGTTCCTCCCAGTTCCGTGCGACTGGTTAGGCGTTGGAGCGTGCAATGCATGCGACCAATTTGCTTCCGATTTGGGTTTTGACTCATTTCCACATGGAATTGCATTGTTGCAAGGAAACACGAATAATTAGGCCAGGTGGCTGATGACAAATCAATCAGAGGCGGAAACAAATGACCAGCTGCTGGCCAACCCCTGATGAAACTCTAGAAGACACTTTTTCGCAGCTGCACGGAAATTTCGACAACAAAAGCAAAATGTCAAAAGAGATGGACTTTCGAAGCCATTCCTTGAAACTACTGGGTTTTTCGGGTTTTTAGACCTTCGTAAAATGGAATTTCTTCTTGACGTTTCGCAAGCACGAGTGGCTTGCATCTTCAGAAGTGGTTTGCTTGAACGCTTACACTGTTCTCATCAGAAC